ATAACCTGCCTTGCCTACCCTACAAGTTTCCATCCAAAAAAGGTGCCAGAACTCTGTTCTGGGCGTTCTATGAGAAAAAAAAGCCCTGAAAATAACCATCTGAGAAGGAGCTTCCACCCTCCTTGTTATATGGAAGCAAGAGTTGGGTATGTCAGAACAAATATAAAAGTACAATATAAAACATTAGGATTTTTATTTAAGAAGTGTTGTTGTATAATAAAGAAGAGCTAGGATGTGTGATAAAACAAGAAGAGACAGAATTAGTGAATGCTCAATTAATGTGAATTGAAAACCAGAGACATTGTGTATGAAAGAACTACATCCAGATAGTTTAGTCAAATAGAAAGAATAAATGAAGATGAAACTGCAAAATAAATATATGAAGGCAAAGTAAGTAGAAAAGAAGAGGAAGACCAAGAATGTCTTCATTGGATGGAGCTGAGAAGATCCTCAAAAAGAAGACTTCTTTTCTCTGCATACTCACATCTCACAAGATCTTAGAAGTATATAAAACCCCCTTTTTAATAATGTAAATATGAGGTGCTGTAGGATCTAAAGGATAGAGCTGTGCAATTTACAACATATGACAGTTCACAAATTAAACTAAATAAAAAATCCAAATGATGCAAGATGGTAGTGATCTGTTACAATATTCGAAGAGTTTCTCAGGAAAAAATTATGATCCCAAGTGATTTGAAAGAAAGAAGTATCTTCATGCACAACCTGCTATATCATAAAAGGTTGAAGTTTTATCCTACAGAGATAATAAAGAATAATGAGGTTGAGCATAGAAAAAATAAACTGTATGTTCATGCAATTTCTGCCTAAAGCATTTACCAATGATTTAAGAGATAATCTAATCCCAAGCAAAGCTCTCTTCTTTTCCCCAAATACCTCAATTTCTGATAATAATTTTAGCTATTTACTAAAGCTATTGAAGAGATGATGCATCCATTTCTTTTCCCCACTCAGGTACAGTAACGTCTTCTCTCTCCTCTCTGCTTTGGATTGACCCTTCTACCTGATCTCACAGGACTTTGAATATTTTTCACTGTGCAAACACAGTCCTGATCTCCCTGCTGTATGAATGTCTGCAGGACAACCTAACTGAGGGAGCAATATATGAGCTAGTCTTTATACCATCCAGAGTCACTTGGGATAGTGAGAAGGGTGGCATATAAGTTAAACAAACAAACCAAGTTTTACTGCCAGATAGATATAACCAATAGGCAACTTGTAGGAGGGAACGCAGAAAAGAAGGGCTGGAATTTGGAATTGTGGAAAGCTTGTCCTGGGGGACCTTCATCAAGCTCATTTATTTAATGTGTACAGTGTGGGATCATTCCCAAAATCTTACTCTTTCATCAGAAAACAAAATTTACAATATGAGGAATACTTCAAATAAATAACATGTACACGAAAACTACTCTGTTTTAATTTTGGGGTCTTTTAAGCATAATTATTATAGTTTGTTAAAAAAATATTTGCGGTTGTTATTTTACTTAAAGTCAGAACCTAGCAATATATTTGTATGTATTAAGATCAACTTCTCCAGCACCCTACATCTGATGTTTAAGTCTAGCATTCCTGCCCTAGTATACAGACATAAAGGATTCCCCTTAGGTTTGATGCTCTTTGATAAACCTTTTCATCTGACAAAACATTTAACCCAGACTTTTCCAAGTTAGGATTTTATGCAGACATCTTGGATTATAAAGTCTTTGACTTCAAGCCAGGTGGTTGGAAACAACGATCAGTATAGACCAGGATACCTATCTTTGGAAAGGCATTTAAGATTGCTATTAATAGTGGCAAATTGCAAGGATTAACTGTGTGCTGCGTGATGAAGCCCTCCATTTTGTACATCCTGAACTGATCAATAATTTCCCTATTATTTCCTACCCACCTTGGCATTCATGGCCGTAGTTGCAGTAAGATTCATTGATCCCATTCATAGCATTGGTGTTAATTTCAACAGTAAAATATAGAGTTTGTACATTCATCTGAGGCTGAATTAAGACCACTTCTGCCATTGGTGGGGAATTTGTGTGTCTGTAGGTGTATGTATGTGGGTACGTGCACTTGAAGAAAGATAGTCAGAATTAGCACTGAGACTGGAGAAAGGATTCCACAAGAGCATGTCACTCAGAGAAAACCTTTTCTCCAGTTGTGACAAGCATTACATTAAACGGCAAGGACTCATGAACTGGAATAAGGAATTATCCAGGGTATAAGGATGCTGAACAGAGATAATTAACCCTGAAATAATTATTATAGCATGTAGAGGTTGCAAGAGACCTTTTAGGTCATCTAGTCCATTCCCCAGTCAATGCAGGAATCCCCTAACCCCTAACTGACAGGTGGCTATCCAGATCCTATTTGAAAAACTCCAGCAAGAAGGAATTCACCACTATATAGACAGTTTCACCACTTAACAACTGTTAACTTCATCAAACTCCTTCTAATGTTTAGCCTGAATCTTTCCTCTACTAATCATGAAGACAAAAGGGACTTCATGAACAGGTCCAACAAGTTAGCAATCTAAATGGACCTGACTTACCTTTTAGCTTTTTGGATTGTTTTCCCCAATCTAGTTCACAGCCCCAGGATTTTCTAATGGTCTCCATCCATGTACTAACTAGTAAATGGATGCTTAATTTGATCACCTGGGTACTGCCACCTAGTTGGGAACTATGACATAGGAATAAATAAGAGAGACAATACACATTTACATTCTGGTACTGTTATTTCTTTACTTATTAGAATTTACAGACAAGTAGCAAAGTTTTCCATAGCCATTACGGTAACATCTGTAAGAGGGATCTATGATCGATTTCAGAATCTTCCTGTAATATATAGCTCATTCTGAGGCTTAGCTGGCTTCAGCAGCCGCATATTTGAGCAACGGAGCAAAAAAAAAGGAGTAAACTATGCACCCATGATAGGCCTTTGGGGTCCACAGAGAGATTGCACATTTCTGATTTAGAAATATTTCCCTTTGAATGGCAGAAGCAAATCCCTCTTGACTTGGCTGTGATCAGATAACAGGCACCATCTTTATTTAAAGTTGGAGCAGAAGACTTGTTTTGGAGGATCACATTCCCCAATGCCAAAAATGGGCATGATCATTGTTTTTCTCTCATTCTCCTAGCCCAGCTGACCCATTTTTGCCAGAATCACAATGGTTTGCCATGGACTTATGAAATAGGTCTAAGCCTCATACAATCAATGTGACAAAAGGAAAGGAGGACGGAACAGGAAATTTCTACAATAGGCTCAATCCTGGAATCTAGATTAGAAGTGATCTTATTTTGTTTATTATTTATTTTCCATATTTATTACTTTTATAAACAACTCAGGGTGGCGAATCTATCCAACACACCTTTCTCCTATTTTCCCTATAGCATCATCTCTGTGAGGTGGATTTGGCTGAGAGAAAGTGACTGGCCCAAAGTCATCCAGCTGGCTTTCATGGCTAAGTCAAAATTACAGGACTTCTAGTCCAACCCCCTGACTTATGAAAAAAATCCGCATAGTACCCCAGACAAAATACTGCCCCAAAACCTCCAGGGATGAAGGACCTATGATTTCAGGAAGCAGTCTGTTCCATTGCTTTACAGATCTCAATGGTTCTTGCATGACAAATTGCACTATGCTTTGATTTTAGAGAATGGCTGATGAGTGTCTTTTCCCCACAAGATTTTAATTGCTAGACAACTTCCCAAAGTTTCCAAGGAAAGACAACTTTCCCAAGGAAAGAGGTTTTTAGCCTCTTTCCTACATTTCCTATTAGTGGGAGAATCAGTAGGCAATGCATCTGTAGTTGCAATACACAAACATACTATCTCACCTCTTTGAACATGCAACATACCATTTTAAATAACTATTTTGCTTATTGAGGTATGGGCAAGGGAGAGGAGGGAAAAGCATGAAATCTGCTTAGAAGTCAACAATATTGGATTTATTTCATGGTGGATAGTACAGTCAAGTTCAAGTGTCTTGCAGAGACTTGACTCCTGTCTCTAAAAAAGTTGAAAATAAAAATACACTCTATTTCATATTTCAAGATCAGCCATACACTGGCCTACGAAGAAACTGAAGAACTGATGCTGTGGGCCAATGCTGAGCAAAAGATTTTCTTCAAGAAATTAGCAGGATTAAGAGCAAGAGTAATAAATGTATATCCTTCTTGGAACACACCATTAGGTTATGTAATTTATTGCTTTAATTTCCAAATGGCCTTGAAAAATAAGAAATAAACACAACTACCTATAGTGCAATCTCGGAAAACAGAAGAAGTTTCTAAACTTATAGATATCAAATTTGTTAGAGATCAACAGAATCTGATTCTGTAAAACAATAATTTTGCAGAAAAATGATAATTATCTAATAATTTTTAGAATAATGCATTCTAAGAGAGGATTCACATTTTTCCTCTTATAATTAGAGCCATGTTTATATTTTTGTATATTTCCTTTTTACATAAATGTATGCATTTTCATTTATTTTGTCAATAAGAATTAATTAAATTTATATGGCCACCCATCTCACATATGGAGATTCCAGGTGGCAAACAGCATTAAATAAATTGACAACTACGTAAATAATAAGTATATCTGCAATTATTAGTCAGATATAGTTTGAAAAATCACATGCCAGATGATAAATAGGAAAGGACTATCTTATTAATCATCCTATGTTTATGAACTTCTCCAAATCCAGATAAGCATACTGGACTAGATGCACTTCCGGTAACGTTCATATTATTAAAAAGAAGAAATAGAATGATAAATCATGGATCCCAATAATTAAGTTTTAGGTTCCCCAAAGATGAGAGTTTGGTATGTCCTCCGGCCTTGCAGAATAACATTGATTCATCTCCCAAATCACACAATCTGCACAGGCAGACCAAGGGGATGCACACCCATATTTATGTTGCGCACCAGCCCAGGTGAACACTCCACGGGAGTTCCAGTTCCCAAAGAGAGACAGCTACTTACCCATCCTTCAAAGCTGTCAGAAGACCCTGTGCCATGAAGCAGATCGTGAAAGGGCACAGTGCAATTGGCCACAAAGTCATCGTAGCCAATAGGAGTGCCATGGAAGACTGCCAACTCCAGCTGGCGCCCATCGGTGACAGGAGCAGAAAACTCCTCATTGTAAGTAGGTTTGTTAGTCTTCTGCTTGGTGCTGGTTTGTCCCACTCGTACCTGATCCACACTCACTGTGATGTAAGGGTCCAGCACTTGGTATCCCTTTTTGAACAGTGAATGCCGGAGTGACCAGCGGGTGGGCTGGAGCCCCACAGCCTCCCCAATGCGCACCTTCATGTACCCATTAAACTTCATCCCTCCGGACATGGCAGGTCCCACCTAAACCGAAACAAGGAGGCTTCCTCCCTCTCAAATAGGAAACTTCAACTTGGGGCACTCCCGAGTCCCAGCTGACTTGGGACACTATAGTCCTTGGGGGTCTGGGCAGCCCAGGGCCCCCGGTCTCCGGGCCATGTTGGTGTGTTCACACACACACACACACACACACACACACACCACAACTCAGTTCCTTTCTGCCTTCGGAGCCGGGAAGGAAATAAGCCAAGCTGCTGAATCACTTCACTCGCTGCTTTCTTCGCCTTTGGCGAGAGCTGCTGAGATCAGGGATCCAGAACACAAAGGAGAGACGGAGGGGAGCAAACCATTCTTTCAGAACAGCCTCAACTCCCGCCAGGCCCCAAAGTGGCTGCCGGCCCTCGAGCAACCGAAAAGCCTTTCCTGCTCTCCGGCTCGGGGGCTTCGGTTTCCTCCCGCCTCGTTCCTCTCTCTCTCGGTTCTCCAGCCCAGGAAGAAACTGCCTCAAAGAAGCGGCAGGGTGGCTTTTCCTGTCGGCGCAGCTCCTCCGAAGCGCCCGTTCACCCACACAGCCGCCTGCGGTTCAGTCCAGTCCTCTGCTCTGCCTGCCTGCCTTCGTTCCTGGCTGTTTCAGAGCAGCTTCGGCTAAGAAAAAGAGGCAAATAGTTATTAAGGGAGGGAGACACCTGAGGGATGAGACTGAAGAAGGGAGGGCCAAGAGGCGGGGCTTCCCAATCGTCCTGCAGGGACTTGTCCCGAGCCGCGGAGACAGCCGTGGGCCGTCGCCGCCCAGCGCTCATCTTTGAAGGCGCTCCTCAGCCAGCCGCAGTTCCTGCTCAACCCTGAATCCGCAGCACAAACCCTCCGTTTTAAATGTCCCCAATAGAAGAGAATATCTGTAGCTCAGAGTTGCAATAAGGAGTCCTTGGTGCTCTCTGAACTTGGTGGTCTACTTGCCAACGTTTTATTAGCCGACTAGGTAACAAGATCAGAGTTACCTAGTCAGGTAATGAAATGTCTGCAAGCAAACCACCGAACTCGGACTCCACAATTTTTAAATGTTTTTTCTGGTCTCAGATCTTCACTGGGCAGCCCCATTCACCGAGTTTTACCTTCAGATTTCCCCCAAAAGGCGTCTCCCAAAGTCATATTTAATCTCTACAGGCAATTTCCTTCTTTGGAGAACCTCAGCTGGAAAATCCACTTCTTACCATCCTTAGGTCCAGCCCAAACAAATTAGTATCTAATCAGAGGACAGGAGTGGCCACAAAGGCAGGATTATAGGATTTCTCTGATCTATTTTGAAGTTCAACCCAAGTGCAGTTGACTCTTGTTTTTGTTTTGCCTTTCAAAGAAAAGTTTTTCAATTGTATCTTTCACTGTTTTCTAGACAACTTTTTTACATTATTGGTACGATGTGGAGGGATAGCATATTGATGTCTCTTAAGATTTTAATTCCAGGTTACTACTACTTTGGAATGAGGTCAACTTCAGTGACAGAGTTCACACTATGCTAAGCCATGGTTTGCTGAACAAGCTATGGTACTTATGGTCACACATATCAAGTTGGGATCACATAATATCTAAACCAAAATGAAAAGTATTGCCTGCAGCAGCCATCTATTTATATGGTGGCCAAGAGTTAACAAAATTTGATGGTCAGCAAAACTTGATAATCATCATAATCAAGCCAATACATGGTTAACTCATTTGCCTCCCGGACTACCTTTCCCATCAGACAGTCAAAATTTGGGGGGGGGGGGTAAAACAGCTACTTTGAGAACTAGTTTGCTGTAGCATATAAGCTGCTGACTTACAAAGTCTACGGGTACATTTCCAAAAAACTGGAATAGAAGCTACTGGGGAAGGCGGATAATTAACAAGATCAACAGATTGGAAAGGGTGGTTTCATCCTTTCCTCCATTATTGGACTTTGGGGGGGGGGGGAAACCTATTCCTTGAATCTATTATTTGCATTAGGAGAAAATCCTCTATTATGATCAGCATAATTTAACCTAATTTTTTAGGATTTTTAGAAGATTCTTTTTCCCCTGCCATAGTGAGAATATGTATAGCTTAAGACTGAGTTGTTGGGTCCTTGGCATTCTTTTAGCTTGTTTCTCTTCCTGAAGATGTTTATTACCAGTCTAGATAGCATTGTTAGTGCATGGGAGAGTAGAGTCAGCTGGCTGTTTTTATGTATTTAGCTTGGCCTACCAGCTTTGATGAGTTACGTGAGCTTAGACAAATATCCTTCCTCATCCTACAGCTATTAACCAACATCCAGATAAGCAGAAATTATCACCAGATATTAGATCAATCACAGAAGAAACAATGCCCCACCCAAAAAGCTGTGAAGAAAAAAAGAATAAAATTATCAGATATGAATTAGTAAAAAACTTCACCACCACCATCACCCCCCCGCCCCCATCTACTGATGATTCTTCATAGTCTAGTAATGAAATGTCTCTGTGAAAAGAAGCAAGCTGTTTTTCCTTTGATATTACTAAGTTAGTGAATAAAAAAAGGAAAAATTAACCAAAGTATTGCAGTTCCATAATCTGAATATTCTTTTAATATAGAACTGGAAAATTATAGCCATTTGCTTCTGAAATACAGCTCCCAATATGCCCAACCAATATATCCAATGAATTACCTAATCTTTTCAAGACTGGATTGCTATATTACAATGTACATGTGATTATCCATGAAGACAGTTCAAAAGTTTTGGCTGGCTCCAAAAGTGAATGTCCTTATTGTATGATTTCACATTCCAACATTAAAATATTTTTATTTGTTACCAATTAATGTGGACTGATTTTTATGTCCCTACATTAACCTTCCACAATTAGGCCACAATTCCTATAATGCCAAAAGCAAACGGAATTATCATATAATTTGGTTAGAAAATATTAGGTTGATATTATGGTTCCAAGTTACTTCTCAGGGTAGACAATTAGCCCATTTTGACCAATAGTGTATTAGCTAATTGTTTGCAAATACTAGGCCCATGGACCATTTGTACAGTTTATTTATCATGTCTTTTAGCATATGAAGAGAATCAGCCAAAGTAACACTTGTTGTTCTCCATTGGTGGCAATCAATTTTCCATAAAAAGATCCCCAGATAACCCTTTTTACTGGTTTTACATAGGTAGTGATGATTACAATATTTGACTTTAATGAGCCTTCAGCTATAATCATTAAGTTTCTTTCTTACTACATGGGTGAAATATCACATTGCAGAAGCAGATTTCCTGCTTAACAGGACATTTTCCCCCTCTTCTCTATCTTGCAGCCATCCTCAGGAGCCTTCAAACCTTGCTGTGGGTGGTCTCCCAAACTTCCAGAGCAGATTTTGAAGACGGAGGAAAGGACTGACTCTTGGCCCAATCCTGCCTGCTGGAAGGTGAAAACCATTCTTGGATTCCACCCATTACATACAGGAATTTTTAATTTTCATTAGGCTAAATTCATAACTTTTAGTAAACAAGTAGGGGAAATAAAAATAAAACATAAATATTCGAAGTAAACAGCTCTGTCTTTCATAATTCCTCTATTCAACCAATGTCCTGTAGTGCTTCTGAAAAAGATGGAAAGAATTTCACTGCACTATGAATCTGTTAAAGGAAACTTTCAGAGCTTGGTTTAAAGTGTTTGGCTGAAGACTGCCAATCAATTAGAGTTTACCTTTGAAAAAATGGGTGGGGAAAATGAGGATAACAGATTACTGTTAAATGTTAAAATGTAATGTGGGATTTTGTTTTTTAAAAATCAAGTTCAGGCACATGCTGCAACTGATCTAATTCCCATCTTTTCCTGGAAGAAACCATGGCTTGTGAACAAATAGAAATTCCCAGGATATTATGAGTTCCTAAGAATACAATAATGAGAGAAACAGCTGTAGGAGGAAACAGAAAGCACATGAGACATAAATAGTCAATGGCTATAGTAAAACTTGGTCAAGTTAGTTCCTGTTTTATCAAACTATGGTTTTACAGTACAGTAACTTTATTTTTAATCTTGACTTCTTCAATTTCATGAAATGTTCAATAGCTGCAGTGGTAGTTCCAGCCAAAGTCTTCTGTTCAGCGTTTCAGACAAGCAGATGTGACCTTTTTAGGATCATCTTTCTTCCCTAAACTCTTATTTTTTATTCTGTCCCCATCCTCAAAAAATTAAGCCATCCACAAGCAGAACATATTCAACCCTCAATGGGATTGTTTTGCAAGAAAGTTGCTCTGCCATTATCCTTTCTGTAACCAATCCTTTTCCAAGACTGTGGATAATCTCAAATGGTACTACTTTGGGCCTAAGTCATAGACTCAGTCCTGAAGTTTAAATGAAAAGGAATAGCGAAAACTATTTGTTTGTTTGTTGGATTTATATAGCTGCCCATCTCATGTGCATGTGACTCTAAGTGATGTACATAATTAAAACAAGACTAAACAATATATTTTATCCATTGAATAGTTGAAAACAATTAAAAGCAATCATGCTGAAGAAATTTCCACATCACCAAAAACAACAACAGTGGAATTCCTAGGCCTGGGGCTTTCAAACTTCAATTCCCATAATCCTTCAGTCAGCACAGCTACAGTACCAAATCCACCTCTTCTTGTTGAAGCAGCGTTAAGCAAGTCTCTGCCTGTGGGATTTTGCAGTGTAGAAATAACTGAATCTGTTCTTTCTTGAAAATAAAGAAAAACCCTTCCTACACATACAAAGCCAGCACTTCAAAAGAGATAGATGAAACCTAGCTTTTTACTCCCACAAACATTGTACTGGAATTCATGGCATATTATTAAATGTGATTTTATAATGTTCAGTCTATCATTTCTAGAACAGCAGTGAAGCTTTCTTACAGTATTAATCAGTTATGCAAATAACAGACAAAAAGTCACATTATAAAGGCTATCATTTGCTTTTTTTCTATTAATAAACATGCTAACTGTTATAGTTAATGAACTGTGGTAATTAAATTCAGTTATTCTTAATTTGCTGAAGTTTTTTTCAGAAACAAATGGAGATAACTTCCCTTTTCAATTTGATGAAAACTTGTGTGGGGGGGTGAGAGAGGGGGAGGGAGAGAGAATGTGTATGTATGAGTGTGTGCATATTTTGGAGAGGTAGATTCTAGACATTGGATTCTTAATGTAATGCTCACTAGGCTTTATTGCTTATCTGATTTTATCTGCTTAATATTTGTTAATCTTTTCAAATGCAAATAATGATAGATGATAGACAGCAGACAGACAGACAGACAGATAGAGCAGCAGAGCTTAACATCTCTAATTTGACTTCTGAGAATAGTGCTTTATAATTTGCTATACTGTCCATGGAAGCCATTTTGTGCAGTATACCCAAATCACCAAGACTGCGGACACCTGATTTAAGACTATTAGAAGACATCCATTCAAATCAGTAGTACCTGATTCATCCATGGCTGCTCCCACAAGAGCATTTTTATTCCCAGCACTGTCCAGGGCAGTATGATCCAAGACCCAATCCTCTGTACATGCATACAACAATGGGGCAAGCACAAAAGGCGAAGGGTTGAGGTTGAGCTTGCACTGGCATAACTACCATCTTGCCTTCCCACCCACCCCCATCCCAGATACCACACATGGATGCTGTTACCCAGAGCCGAGGTGGCGCGGCAGTTAGAGTGCAGTACTGCAGGCCACTTTAGCTGACTGTGTTCAGCAGGTCAGCGGTTCAAATCTCACCGGCTCAAGGTTGACTCAGCCTTCCACCCTTCTGGGGTAGGTAAAATGAGGACCCAGATTGTTGGGGGCAAT